TTATCTATTCTCTTTAGCATAACAACCCATGTTTTTGATCTGGTCTATTTTTATTTTAATGAAAATTTTCCTCAGCCACTTTTTCAGTTACTAAGGATGCATAGATTTAATGAATTAGAATACTTGAAAGCAAATGGTTGATCCTCTTAGATTTATCAAGTTTCGGCAAGTCCAGAGTTTATTGTGTGAATAATAATTGCTTTATTTCTTATCAGGAGAGAATACATTAATCGAATAAATACTGAAACTCGAGCAAGCCTTAAATCTTGATTGGAAACGCTTATTACTCGTTAAAAAACACTTTTAAAAAATGGAACAACAAGTAAGAAAAATGGCTAATGAAAACGAATGTGAAGGAACAGTAGAAGAAATGTGTGTGGATACCTGTAATTATTTGTTACCACCAGGGACCTTGTTCTTTCCGGACAGGATACTGATTTGTTTGCTTCTGAAGAGTTTGATCCTTGCCCAAATTGGATAACTGAAACAAGAGAAAAAGCTAATATAATTCGTAGAATTGATACGGATAAGAAATCTATTTCTTCTAGCTTGCAATTATCACCTTCTTTTCTAGTTATTGGATTCCCCAATGCACCATCTGCACGATATCTATCTAGCACTTATGAACAAACACCCTCTAATGTCTAATTCTGAGCGAAGTGAAGAATGGACTTGTTTTCATTGTAAACTTAATAAAATATAAGTTGAGTATTTTTCCATGCTCAAAAAATTATCACAATGGCCCCAACACCAACTACACCAAAGAACAACAAGAAAACGAAAGACCTTAGCTCACCTTCTGCAGGTAGCGAGCAACGAGTCATTGTTCTAACTCCTTCCGCCAAGGTTGGTTCACAAGGTGCTTCTGCTCTCGCTTCTTCGATGGAATTGTTTGAGTCCAACCCATCTGAAGAGGTTTCTGGTAAAAGAGCAAGAGTTGCTGATGAACCAGATGATTGGTTTAAAAACCACGTCATCAACTCTTACCAAAGAATGTTTGGTGAGTCATTGAAAGAAGATTTGCCGTTGGAAGAAGCTGTTTCTCTTCTATTCGAAACAGCCAATGCTCCATACGCTGACAACTTGGAATTCAAGAATAGAATGGCTGCTCTTGAATTGTTGTTCAGAAAAGAAGTAGACACTCCCATTCCAGATTCATCTGGTATAAAAGATATTAAAAGTAAAGGTTATTCTTTACTTTTAACAAACTCTTTTATCATCTCTCAAATCTGCAAGCGTTTGAGAGAGAGTGATACCCTTGATTTACCGCTTATTCTTCAAGGATTTGAATTTATTCAGAATATTTCTGAGTTAAATCTAGTCTGTATTCGAATGGGCATTAAAAATGGCTTTGAAGCAGCTGAAAACTTCTCTAACAGCTACAAATCAGGAGGTTCACTTGACCAAATCACCTCCAAACAACAAGAGAAGGCCATTAAATCTGCTGAAAAAGTAAAAGCAGTAGAAACCATTGAAAAA